AAAAAAAAAAAGAAAGAAAGAAAGAAGGAAGGAAGGAAGGAAGGAAGGGAGGAAGGAAGGGAGGGAGGAAGGAAAGGAAAGGAAAGGAAAGGAAAGGAAAGGAAAGGAAAGGAAAGGAAAGGAAAGGAATTCTAATTAGCGAAATGTGTACAGCAAAGTCCATACAACAAATAAACAAAACAGCTCCAACAAGAAATACCATAATCGCACTATAAAAGTGAGAAATAAAAAAGACAGAGGAATAATAACCTCTAGAGTTGTGAAATGGAAGAAGCATATTAGTCAATTTTGCTATGTACCTCAAAGCTATAATCCTAGCAACTTGGGATACTGAGAACAGCAAGGAAAATCAATGACACAATGATAGAAAAACTCAATCAAGTGAAAAGGTAACTTTGGACTCCAGGCAGAGGCACCTGGGTGAGGATCACGGTGGATATTTTTGGTTGCAGATCACTTCAGATTTCCAAGCAACCCAGAGAATCACCTACCGCATTTCTGGAGTAGGAATTGATCAGCCCCCTTTTGGAATCTTTGTTGTCGATCCAAACACTGGTGACATTAACATCACAGCCATAGTTGATCGAGAAGTAACCCCAAGCTTCCTGGTAAGTCTATGTCTTCAATATCCTTTTTTCTTTAGACTCCATGATGAGGAAGGGGCCTGCACTACTGGTGAATTCAAAAAGAAAAGCGTACATAAGCCAATCCATCAATAGCAATTCTTCTACAAAAAGCTTTCAATGATGCTCAGTACTTCTGAAGTAATATATCAGGAAGGTATACAAAAGAGGGCCTAGAACCAGCATACAACTTACCAAGAGCTTCATCTGGCATGAGATACACCAGCCTGGAAGAAGGGGCAACTTCCAAAGTGACAAGAATGAGAGCCACTTTCCACTTTACCTGGCCTTTGTGAGGAGTAGCTTTCTCCTTTGCACGGGAGCTCTATGCTGTATATGTCAGCAGAGGTCTTAATTCCATGAATTTTAATATTATGCAAACTTAGTTTATGCAGTAGTAATTAACTTTTTACCTCTGATTCTAGATCACATGTCGTGCACTGAATGCCTTGGGACAAGATGTAGAGAAACCACTTATACTAACAGTCAGAATTTTAGATGTCAATGATAATCCTCCAGTGTTTTCCCAAACCATATTCATGGGGGAAATAGAAGAAAACAGTGCTTCAAGTAAGTATTTTTAGGTACCTACTACTTCTGATTCATCTGTTTTTGAATTACAAATATTCATCAGAGCCTATCATTTTTATAAGCATATTACATTGGTTTCTTTTAAAAAAAAACTATGAAGATAATGTAACTTATTTCCCCTTCTAAAATTTGTGAAATGTCCACATGGTATGTCTAAATTATAGTTTTATTGCTAAATTGATAGTACCTTGTTCTGTCTATATACAAGCTACATGAAGTCATTGCAAAGCTCTTGAAGGCATGCCCTAGATGAGTGACTGAGGTATTTTTAAGAGTAAAAAGGACATATATATATATATATATACATATATATATGTGTGTGTGTGTGTGTGTGTGTGTGTGTGTATGTACACACACATATACTCATACCCTTATAAAAATGATCATCAGAAGAATATTAAAGAAAGGTATACCAAGGATTAGACCAAGGCTTAAGGAGAGCTGGAGGATTTTGATATGGAAGTCTTCAAATTCTGTCTGGTTGAGAGAGACCGGAAGAGAACACAGTGATATCGAAAACATACGTAGCTAGCTGGAAGACATTTTTAAAAAAGATTCAACCTGAAACTTTGTGGAATGTTTAATGCAAACACCACATCAATCTTCACCCATTCTTTAACAAACATTTTTCTGTACTCCTAGACTCACTGGTGATGATACTAAATGCCACCGATGCAGATGAACCAAACCATTTGAACTCTAAAATTGCCTTCAAAATCATCTCCCAGGAGCCTGGAGGCATGCCCATGTTCCTCATAAGCAGAAACACTGGAGAAGTCCGCACCCTCACCAGCTCGCTTGATCGAGAGGTAAAGCAAATCATGTGGAAACATTGGAAACTGAAGGGTTTTATAGTAAGAAACTGCAAAGAGGAATCTCCATTTTACCTGAGAACAAAAGCAGAAAGGAACAGAGGCTGCCAGGTCTCACCTGGACCCCTCTAGGGAGACTCTGCCTTTCTGTGTGTGATGGTGGTGGATGAACCTTTGGGTTTGCATGCTGCACAATCACTGTACCCTGCACATACTAGTGGAAGTTAAAGTGGCAGAGTCAAAGACATTGATAAACTGTGCTGTGATGATTTCCTCAGGCCACAGAGGAAAGGATGTTTCTTACAAGGAAGGAGAAATTTCTTTTAGTTGTTGTTATTGGTGGTGGTGGTCATGGGACTTGAACTCAGGGCCTGAGCACTGTCCTTGAGCTATTTTTGCCCAAGGCTAGCATTCCACTCCTTGAGACACAGCTCTACTTCCAGGTTTTTGCTGATTAATTGGAGACAAGAGTCTTCTTATCCAGGCTGGCTCTGAATCATGATCTTCAGATCTCAGTCTCTTGAGTAATTAGGATTACAGGTGTGAACCACCAGCACCTGGCTCTAGAAATGTCTTTTCATTTTTTGTTTTTATTATCATTTACATTTTTGGTATCTTTAAACTCCTTTGTTCTAAGGGGTTTTTTATTTTTTTTAATTATCTTTAAGAGGTATACAAAAAGGCTGCAATTCAACATGTCAGTTTATGAATACAATGCATCTTGATCAGTGCTACAGAAGAAATTTCTCTCTAATATGAAGCCTTTTTTAATGTCATATCGTTTTTCTAGATTCCTACTTTAATTTTACCTCTTGTTTCCAAACCACCAATCAATCCCTTCTCTTCTCCCTACCACTTTCCATTACTGCCATCAGTCTCCACCAGCACAAGCAGCCACACCACATGCCATGTTATTTTTTCCCAATAGACTAGCAGGAAAGCTCTTTACATCAGTCTTCAATTATTTCCTGATAATCATTGCTTTGTGTGTGTGTGTGTGTGTGTGTGTGTGTGTGTGTGTGTGTGTGCACTTGCATGCACCAGTCCTTGGGCTTGAACTCAGAGACCCTGGGTGCTGTCCTTGAACTTTTATTTTTTTCTCAAGCCTGACACTCTAGCACTTGGGCCAAATCTGGCTTCCAACCTTCACACTCAGATATCCAACTCCTAAGTAGCTAGGATTACAGATATGGGCCACCAATGCTTGGCTCATTGCTCATTTTTTTGTTATCTAACAATGCATCCTTGCCTTCCAAAGTTTACAAAAGAGAAAGCTTGTCCTAGCCTTTGAAGACTCCCACCCCATTATGCAGAACCCCATACTTCCCCTTTGTCATGAACAACTAACATCACATGTTACCTTATTCATAGAAACAGTAGTGGATCTGCTAGGGAAAATAGTAATTTTCCCTTTTTTTCTCTCCAAATTTAGCAAGTTAGCAGCTACCATCTGGTTGTGAGTGGTGCAGATAAAGATGGAGAGGGACTATCAACCCAATGTGAATGCAGTATTAAAGTGAAAGATGTCAACGATAACTTTCCCATGCTTACAGACTCTCAGGTACATCCGTTGTCCCTCCTCGTTTGGTATTTGCCTACTTGTTGGCTTCTAAGATATTTTCAGATATTTGCTTTTAACAAAAATAATTAGCTTTTTGTAAAGAGAAGCCAGCAGGAAGTCAATACATGACTTGAAAAGTAATAGCTGATACCAGTGAAAATCAGCCCAATACCTTTAGGATAAAAACCTAGCATTGAGTCTTAAGTTCTGTCTATGTCTTTTTCAGTATTCAGCAAATATCCAGGAAAATACTTTAAATGCTGAGTTACTTCGATTTAAAGTAACAGACTGGGATGAAGAATACACAGACAATTGGCTGGCTGTATATTTCTTTACCTCTGGAAATGAAGGGAACTGGTTTGAAATAGAAACTGATCCCAGAACTAATGAAGGCATCTTGAAAGTAGTGAAGGTAAGTGAGTTTCCTTCACTGCTAATATAGAAACATATGTATTTATATATTTGTGTTTATATTATATCATATTTATATTAATAATATATAGTCTATGTTAACTCAAACTATCATTGCTACAGAGAGATGTTGTTAATAATAATAATGATACATTAAATAAAACACATCAAAGTAGAAAGAATTTTTAATTAAAATAGTTCATTAGCTAAACAACAATTACCTTAACCTATTATTTTCTTTCATACTATCACACTTTCCATAGTCAACACACACATACACAATCACACACACACACACACACACACACACACACACACACACACCAATATACATGATATTTCAACACAAGAAAACAAACTAACACATTACTTGGCTTAATCAAATTCACTTTTCCTACACTGGCATGTAGAAAGGCCCTTGACAGCAGTGGCTCTATAATTCTCCTAGATGACTCTAATATGCAGTCAGGGTGGCTACCCCCTGCTGCCCACCATGATGAATGCCCCCCCCCATAATAGTACACTCACTCCATTCCTTATCAACTGCTTTTATTTCTGCTTGGATAATTTTTCCGCAGCCTCCTTCAACACTCAGTTCTAAACCTCTCAAAACTCTTCCCTAATTCCCCAAGTAGAAATAATCTCTCACTTTTACAAGTAGAATATCATCTCTTTGTCCCTTAACCTTTCATCTTCTAGTTACCTGTTCACACGTCATTTTCTTCTATGGAAAATGCAGAGCACTTGAAGCCAGTAACTGACAAGTTCAAACTCAAATCTAGATCTCTTACTTCAGTTTTATTTTTAGTGATGAGTATACATAACAAAAGTAACATTTCTTTTTTATATCATCCTGAAAACAAAAGTTAATCTGAGATTCCTCAGGCTTCTCCATTTGGGCCACTGTAATGAGACAATCAAACATTATCATACAAAACTACTTAAATGTGGTCTAGGAAGAGTGGGGACACCCAATCATTGCTATATAGAGATATTTTTTCAAAGCAATGTTAAGATAGTTTGCCTCTACACCTAGAAATTTTATTTATGTCACAAATGGCATTATTACACATGAAGCCAATGGGTATTTTGTGAGTAACCATGGCTGCTACTTAGAGCAATTCATCATGGGACTTAATTTATTCTGTCCTTACAAGAAGTCATTGATGTAAAATGTGATTTTAAAAGTGGAAAGTTGAGGTTAAGAGAAATTAAACTAAGAGAAATTGTACCCTGAGTCACATACATTTTGAATATCAGAACCAAAATTTAAATCGTGTTATCAAAGCAAATTTGGATTTTTTCCACTGTACCTCACAGACTAAAGATGTTATGATGGTGTTTTGTTAGTCTAAAAAGGAGGCTCTCACTTTGTAGACATCAGTTACCCAAGTGACATCTCCTGAGTTAAGAATTTAAGTTTTCTCTGTCTCAACCTTACAACACTTTCAAGTCATAGTAATACTGAGACTGTCATTTTGCTCTGTAGGAATAAAGAGATACATTCATTATATCTTCCCTGTCCTATACTTATTTTGCCAGATTGCCTATTTGTGACAGTTTCTTCTTGCTACTTTAATTTTATTCTAGGCTCTCGATTATGAACAAGCCCAACGCATGCAATTTAGTATTGCGGTCCGAAACAAAGCTGAATTTCACCAGTCAATCATCTCCAAGTATCAAGTACAGTCCACTCCAGTCACTATTCAAGTCATAAATGTAAAAGAAGGAATCTCATTCCGTCCTACTTCTAAGACATTCACTGTGCAAAAAGGCATAAGTGGTAAAAAATTGATTGGTTATACCCTGGGAGCATATCAAGCCATCGATGAGGAAACTGGTAAAGCTGCCACATCTGTCAGGTAAGACTATTTTGATGGCAACTAATTATTCTGTGAGGTAATTTTGATCTATAAGTTATTACAAGATAGACAGTTAAGTGCTAGTAATAGACATGCAAAGGTAATGAAGACAAAGAAGTAGATAGCATAAGAAGACACATGTGGGTAAGCTTTAGAATAAACTGTGCTATGAGCAAAATAACATGCAAAATTTAAGGTATTTTAGCCTGCTAAGAAAGATCTTTTACACAATCTTCCAGCTGAGTCTTACAATGGGTTAGAAGTTCAACAAAAGGTTATATTTAATCAGATAAAACAAACAAGCCCAAGGAATATACATATATACAAAAATAAAAACATAGATATATGAAATACGTAAAATTAAAATATATTAAATATAAGAGCATCATTCAAGGTAATGGCTATATCATGGGGACCCAAGGTATTCTATTTTATTGCACAGAGCAGAAAATTGGGTAACCAATTTTACATGTGTATTATGAAATGTTTTCTGTCCATATCATATCAGTTTTCTGGTGTTTTGGTAAGCACATATTTCAAGGTCTAATACTGAGTATAATTATGTTAAATATAAAAGAAGTCATTTTCATCAAACATATGGTATGCTATATTTGAAAGAAAACTTCTTTTCTATTATATAACAGATATGTCATGGGTCGAAACAATGGTGGTTTACTAATTATTGATCCAAAAACTGCTGAAATCAAATTTGTCAAAAACATTGATCGAGATTCTACTTTCATAGTTAACAGGACTATCACCGCTGAGGTTCTAGCCATAGATGGTAAGAAACTTTTCAATGACTTTTTGAGAAACGTTACTCCAGTTAGTATTTATTTATGACTAGACAACTATTTCATAATATTCCTCAATGAAGATCATTATCTCATGGGCTTGGGGACCTCAAGATTGAGGTAAGTTAACCTAGAACAAAAGACTTGGAATTCCAACTTTTCATTAGAGTTTAAGCAGCAGAGGACTCTGTATAATCCCTACAGATTACTGTAGTTTTGTGGCAGTGGGATATTTTAATCCAAAATAATTCCTATTTGAATTCTGTGGTATCAGTAAAAATTCCTACAAAGTGCCAATCAGGAAAAGTAATATTAAATGTAAGGTCTCTTTATGAGCTGCTAATAGACATCTTGTATTCATATTATTGAAGAATACAATTTCCTCTTCTAGAATGTTTTAAAATAATATTCATTGAGTGCCTGTATTTTTCCCAATTTAAGATTAATTTGTGCTCCATCCTAAACACCAAAAAAGAAACAAAACACAAAAAGAACAGGAACCATTACCATTTGGGAAAAAAATGTTTAGCTCTCTAAAGCATAAACAGTAGAAATGAGTCAAAACTCCAGTTCTGGGCTGGGAAGGTGGCTCAGTGGTAGAGTGATTGCCTTGCATGCATGAGGCCCTGGGTTCTATTCCTCAACATCACATAAGCAGAAAAAGCCAGAAATGGTGCTGTGGCTCAATTGGTAGAGTGCTAGCCTTGAGCTGAAGAGCTGAGGAACAGTGCCCAGGCCCAGAGTTCAGACCCCAAGACCGACAAAAAAAAAAACACTCCAGTTCTGAGAAATTATTGTTATTTTATTGTCTGCCAACATTAAATTTTTTCCTCCAATAAATATTTATGTCTTGGGTAATAAATATAAATAACTGTTTATTCCATGTACCATGGCTTTTAAGGTTTAGGAATTTAAAAAAAAAATCACACAATGATTACAGATGAGATGAACATAGCTTTAAAAACTATTATTTTTGTATTAGTTTCATTTATAATCATTGAATCAGGCCACCCTTATAGGTCATGATCTCAAGGATATTAAGGTAATAGGTGATGCTACTAATTAAAGGCAACCAACCATCTGGTCATTTCAATTTGGTTTTTACAAATTACAGAAATAGTGTGACATCCTTTACTTCTAAGAAGAGCTCCTGTTTCTTATGAGAAGATGCACTTACTTGTCAATTAGAAAATAAAACTCAGAAGGCACAGTAGCACCCTTACAGTATTAGCTACTGGAAATTCTAAGGCAGGAGAATCATTTGAGTCCAGGAATTTGACACCAGCTGGAGCTACATAGACCCTGTCTTTAAAAAAAAAAAAAAGAAAAACTGTGTTTTTACTTTTTAAGCCTTACTTTTCAGTGAGAAGTGAGCTTATTACTTTGTTTTCTTACAGAAAATACAGGTAAAACTTCTACAGGCACAGTGTATGTGGAAGTACCCAGTTATAATGAAAACTGCCCATCAGTAGTCCTGGAAAAGCAAGAAATCTGCAGTTCATTACCTTCTGTGACTGTCTCAGCTAGAACCCTTGACAGGAGTAAATACAGCGGCCCCTACACATTCTCCCTGGAGGAGCAGCCTGTAAAGTTGCCAGCTATATGGAGTATCACAACACTCAATGGTGAGCAAGGGTCAATTGGCTTCCATAAATGAAATGTGCCTCTTCTTCCTATCTCCAGAAGCATGAGAGAACTCATTTGAGAAGAGGTCCTCCCTAAGAATAATTTGGGGAAAAAAATCTTTGTAATAAAGATGCGATCCAGGCTATAGGAATTCCTTTTCATTCAAAAGAGAGAGAAAAGGAAAGTTATGGTATAATGTCACAGCATGTAATGTTTTTATCTGATTCATTTAATGAGTTTTATGTTTTGAATAAGTTTATTTCTTCATCTGTGGTAGGATAATAAAAGAGAGTCAGGGATCTATTTAATCAGAGTTGTCTATATATACATATACATGCTTCTTTCTTTCTTTCCTATTCCTCTTCTTCCTTTTCCTCCTTTTCCTTTTTCTTCTTTCTATGAGCTCCTGGAGCTTGAACTCAGGGCCTGGGCACACTGTCCCTGAGCTTTTCTGCTCAAGATTAGAGCTCTCACTTGAACCACAGCTGTACTTCTGGCTTGTTTTAGCAGTTCATTGGAGAGAAGAGTCTCACAGACTTTCCTACCGAGGTTGGCTTTAAACTACAATCCTCACATCTCAGCCTCTTGAGTAGCTAGAATTATATGCATGAACACTATCTCCCAGCTATATGATCTTTTCTTAACAAGGTGAACTTGAATCCCTAGAGATGTAGGACTGCAGAGGATCCTAGGAAGTGACAACTACTCTGTCAAAGGCGAAGAGCTAATCCTTTTCTCCTGTTACCATGCTCATGTTCCATTTTCAATGCTTTCTCAGAAGTCTTACAGACTTAATAAAAAAATCTCCCTTTAAATGTACTCACTTTCAAATCTTTTCTCCATCAATTTTACTTCCTATCATGGTTGTATCCCTTGTATCCCTTGGTATCCTGCAGTTGTAGGTGTCAGCCACTGCCAGAGTCATCAAAGAAAATGTGTTCTCAGTAGCTTTCTGCACTTGGGCCATTTTAACCCCGGGTTAAGGGTCTGATTACAAGTCAGCTAGACTGTCAAGGAGGAGGCTGCTGAAGATCGGAGGATCAGGCCAGGGTATGGATCTAGCTTACACGAACCAAGATAGGCCTGGGTGGGCAAGGCACAATGTTAAATGTTGAATGTTGAAGGCTGAGGTCATGAATGATTTAAATGACCCCGCCCTGCTGTAGGAATCTCACGTGGAAAGAAACCATGTAGCAATGGTGAGTAGAGAATAATTGATGCTCAGATGTTAGATACACAACAGACCTCACCACAGTAAACCCACTGAACAGACCCACAGGTTCTAGGAGAGAACTGAAGGGGGCAGGTTAGGTAAAAGCAGCCAAAGCTGAAACTCAATGTTGGTCACTCGGATGCAATAACTTGGAACTCAAGGAAGGCATGCACCAGAGGGTCACGGGGGACTGAGAACTGGTTCAGACTTCCAGGAGACTGGAAAGGCCAGAGAGACAGGACAGGGGGGCTGGTGTTTATATAATGTCCACATCCTGCTCTCTTTTGTGAGAAAAGTAGTGCAGGACTAATCTTCCTGGAGAAGACTAGTAAGTATGAATGGATTAGAGAGAAGGAGAAGCAGAACATACACAGGTAAGACCCAACCAAACCTCTTGTAGCCCAAAGTACTACTCAGACCACATCACCTCTGCTATTTGTGACAGTGATTTCTAAAATCAAACTATGACCATAGATGTAGCTCAGTGGTTTGAGTGCTTGTCTAACATGTATGAGTGCTGAGTTTGATCCTGTAGGATCACAATTTCATGCATACTCCGCATATACACACAAACCACCAAAACAAAAACTATCATATCCTATTGATGATTTGTATGCCTGTTTCTTACAGACACCTCAGCACTGCTCAGAGCCCAGCAACAGATCTCCCCTGGAGTGTACACAGTTCCTCTTGTGATTACGGACAATCAGAACAGGCAGTGTGAGATGCCAGAAAGCTTGACTCTGACAGTATGTCAGTGTGATGAAAGAGGTGCCTGTGGAAAAGCAGACCCAAGCAGAGAACTTAGGAACCCATCAACCTGGAGACTGGGGCCTGCTGCTATTGGCTTGATCCTTCTGGGGCTCTTGATGTTGCTGTGTGAGTATACCAGTGTGATGCTCCATGACAATGGAGGTGGAAAATCTGCAGGACGGTGTGCTGCTCATGATCCACAATCATCCTTCAGGCAAAGCTAGGGAGAAATGGCATCTCAACGATAAGACCAAAGTAAAGCAAATGGGTAGACATTTCAAATTAGCACCACAGGAAAACCTAGAGGTAGAGAACGAGATGAGGAAGACTCTACCTATTGTCCATCATGTTCATAGTCAAAATGATGGTTTTGAAGTTGACGACCAAAACTTCAGCTTCTGATCTCATTTAAAAAAAAATAGTTCTTATAAGTAAGTCCCTATGTTAGTTTCTACCTGAAAGGGGAAGTTGATTCTGGTTTTCATCCAGTTTACAGATTTAAATGCTCAACATTGGAAAAAATATGTCATAATAAAACTATAGTAAAAGGAGTATTATAGAAGGCTCCAGGAACAGGGATATCATCTGTCTGAACCTTGATTGAGTAGAATGTAGTATTTAAAAAGAGAATGTAGTATTTTTCAAAAAACAGGAAAGTTGTTTCTAAAATGTAACAGCATTAACCAACACCAGATAACTCTTACCGCATGTTACAAATCGCATGGCCTTCAGAAGCTAAAGAGGTTGAAAGTAAAGAAATTGTGGGGATTAATTTGGTAGGCTCTTTGTAATTAAGCAATGAGTTGCCAAAGTATTTCAGTAAAGGACTTAGAGAAGCTAACATAGAAAATCTTATAATTTTTTTAAGAAATGTATTGATAGACACTGATTAGGTCATCTCCCTAGTTTGCTGTCTAATTCTATTTACAGAACTAAGAATGATTAAAGACCAGGTCAGTGAAATATTTATCCACATAAAATTTTTGTCATCTGTTCTTCTTCCTGACACAATATATAAAGCCACCCATATGTATAAACAAATAAAATATTAAGACAAAGAAGTGAGGAACTTAGCAATCTCTGTTATCACTCACCAAGTGGTGCCTATTGTAAGTTACAACACACCTACATCAGAACTATCTTACTTGTATCCTTCCATTTCACAATCCTATGAAAATTTAGTGTACTTCATTTACTAAATTTTGTTTTTTTCTACTAAATTTTGTAGTGATTAGTTATGTTTTTCATGAGGAAACATCCTTAAGGATTTAAAATATTGTGTCTTTGTAATGCTGCTGCTGATTGTTAGGCTAAGCAATTTCTAACTGACTCAAACGTTCTGATATTCTGCCTTGCTTTTCTCTAGTGGCCCCTCTTCTGCTGCTGACCTGTGATTGTGGGACAGGTCCCATTGGGGGTGCGACAGGTGGTTTTGTACCAGTTCCTGATGGTTCTGAAGGCACAATTCATCAGTGGGGAATTGAAGGAGCCCAACCCGAAGACAAGGTGAGGATCTAGTTTGTAAACTATTTAGTGCAATTATATAGAGAGAAACAAGATTTGTACTGAGATAGGAAAAGGAGTCATGGAGTGCAAAAATAATATACTCCATGATCTTCAGTGGACATTCAATGCCATCAATTATGAGGCCTCTTAGCTGTAAAAAAAAAATCCTAAAAACTGTTGTTTCTGTAAGAATCTGGCCTTCTTTTAATGGTGTGATTTGCAAAGGACTGTGTCACCTGTAGTGCACTAAAACCCAACTCTCCTTAAAATTTACTTCTTTTTTTTTTAAACACAATTTACAGGAAATGACAAATATCTGTGTGCCACCTATCACAACCAATGGAGCAGATTTTATAGAAAGTTCTGGTGAGTAAACATTAAATTTACTGTTAAATGCAATGGTGGATTAAAGGACATATAGTCCAAAAGAAGAAGCGTTCAAAATGATGTTTGTAATAATGTCTATATTATGTGCACCCAATGGGAGCTACCACTACTAAAATGGAGGTGAGATGACCTAAGATTTGTACATTAGTCAATTCCATGACATTAGTCAATACATTATCACTGATGCCACAATTTTTAATATCTAAGGATTTATTATGTATTTTCCCAAACTTTACTAAACTGAAGGATACATGTGTGTATGTGTGTGTGTACATATATACATATACATATGTATGTATGTATGTATATATATATATGTATATATATATATATATATACTGTATATATATACACTGTAGGTTGTCTGTTGTTAACATTAGACATGTTTGGGGTTAGTCTCATGTGTGCAAATTCTCAGCCCTGTGATCTTCTCCTTTACCAGGAATAACAGGATTCTGCTCTGACTTCAATGACTAATTTTTACACTAGGTCACAATGAGGCATGGTCACTGATGCAAATTTCATAAATTAGTAAATTTCATTATTCTTCAGTTTTACCAAGCTACCATTTTATTCATACCATCTCAATGGTACAGCCACACTATAACCTAGAGGATCAAGAAGGAATAAAAAAATCTTTATTTAATTCTATACTTATCAATAGATTGTCTTTAATGTCTAGGTTACAAAATCTGCAAAAGATTTCTCCAGATATGTAACCACCTTTATCAACTATCATAATCATTATTTGCTTCTCCCAGTATAATGTCATAGTACAAACTATACTCAAAATAGTCTAGAAAATGTAATCTATGAAAGTGTGATATGAAATTAATAGGAAAAGTAGTCATAATTCATTAAATGTTCTCTATGCTCTCACAAAATTAGTATCTACTAACTTGCATGAAAATAAATATTACATGGTTTTCCTCTTTGGTGCCCTTCCTGAGTCAATATGACTGTCCAATTATTATTTTATTTTATTATTTTTTTGGGGGGGGGTCCGGTGATGGGGCCTGAACTCTGGGCCTGGGCGCTGTCCCTCAGCTCTTCAGCTCAAGGCTAGCGCTCTACCACTTGAGCCATAGCGCCACTTACGGCTTTTTTCTTTTTGCTTATGTGGTGTTGAGGAATCGAACCCAGGGCCTCTGGCATGCAAGGCATGCGCTCTACCACTGAGCCACCTTCCCAGCCCAATGCTTTGCACAGCTGTGTAATGGAGATTCTGTTTTGATATGTTTATTGTTTCCTTTCTAAAAATGTATTTTAGTATATTTTCAGAGCTCTTCTGAGTAGATATAAGAGGTGACTACATATATAATTTTATTTTCTCCAATATAATAGCTTTAAATACTAGCTTTCATGGGCAACAAAGATTGGGTTTTGTTGTTCGTTGTTGAATTCAGAGCCTGGGCACTGTCCTTTAGCTTTTTTGCTCAAGGTTGGCTCTCCACTTTGAGCCACAGCTCCACTTCTGACTTTTTGCTCATTAATTGAAGATAAAAAGTCTCTTGGACTTTTCTGTCTGGCTTCAAACGGTGATCCTCAGATCTCAACCTCCCAAGTAGCTAGAATTATAGGCATGAGCTACTGGTGCCCAGTCCAAAGATTTTGTTTTGTGTTGTTTGTTTGTTTTAAATTACAGCTTACAGCATGTGATGTCAGAGAATTTTCTTCCCTGTTTTTAGACATTTGCACCAACACATATGCTGGCGGGACAGTGATGGAAGGAGCTTCCGGAATGGAACTAACCACCAAGCTGGGAGCAGCCACTGGATCTGGAACTACTGGAGGATTTGGAGAAGCTTCTGGACTTGGCCCCTGCCCATTAGGAATGTCAGGAACCATGAGAACAAGGCGTTCCACTGGAGGAACCATGAAGGATTATGCCGATGGGTCCATAAACATGAATTTCCTAGATTCCTACTTTTCTCGGGTAATTGTGTGGCAAACTTGATGACTTTGTTTACTTATTTACATTAGAGATGCTTTGAGTGGGTTATGTACTTCAGTTTTATGGCTTGTTTTTCTGCAGCTTATTAAAACATAAGGAAGCCAGGTGCTGGTGGCTCATACCTGTAATCCTAGCTATTCAGGAGTCTTGAGATCTGAGGGCCGTGGTTTAAAACCAGCCCAAGCAGGAAAACCCATGAGACTCTTACCTCCAATTAACCACTGGAAAACCAAAAGTGCAGCTGTGGCTCAAAGTGGCAGAGCATTAACCTTTAGCAAAAGTGCTCAGGAACAGTGCCCGGTGCCTGAGTTCAAGTCCGATGACAGATAAAAATAAATTAGGAAAAAAATAAGTTTCTTTTTGCCAAAACAATACAAAACACTTAAGGTAGCTATCAAAACTGAGTCACTGGTCTAAGAGAAAACTGGAAAGATAACCAATCAGTGAGAGAATGTAGCAAGAAACCCCTCATTCTGTCAACTGGAGAAAAAAACTGAGGCCCAACCCTTCTGTTATTAGAATACGATGCAGTTTATTTTGTATTTCTTGCACCCTGAAGCACATGTGCATATATTTTCCTGAGAGTACTATTGTACTCTTTGCATTCTCCATGAACTCCATGGCAGAAAAATGTAAAAGAACTACCTGAATCAGTGACCCAAAAATAAGAGGAAGGAGAGTTGAGATGGAAGATCAGTGATGAGAAGTAGCATGGGACAGAAAAGGGACAAGGGGCAGGAAGAGAAGTTTGTCGGAGGCAGGTTGTCTAATACTTGTTGGATGGCCAAAGATTAGTGGGATATAAGATATGCTGAGAGGGAATCTGTGTAGAGTTTTGGCATCAGCACTGGGAAGTGCTGAGTCTGACTCGGTGTCTGAGTAGATGAAAGCTCACACTGTATTTGAGAAGAGACTGACAAGGAGTACTTATTTCAAGACAGGGGTTAGGCTCTAATTATTGATCAAGTTTCTTCAATGGTGATAGTCTATGGAAAGCCTCTAGTTGGAGTGAGGATTGCCTCAGTGCCCAGGGAGGGAATTCCCCTGTCATGATACGTAATCAAGTATACATAGAGACGACCTTCATACTTAGCTCAGGGACAGTGTCCAGCCAGTCATCATGCACATTTGGTATGGAACCCAAACTACATAAAAATCAAGAACTAAAACGTAAGTTTTGAGCAGATTCAATCTTGATGGAATATCAGCCATTCTGTTCCTGAGCTCCCAGACAATTTTAAGAACAAAATCGTTGATATGAAAAAGTATGTCTTCACTTCTGATGATCTAAATTGGGCATTCATACAGTTCTATGAGCAGCGTTAGATCCTTTGATAATTTTTCTTACCATTCCCCTTTATCCACTTTCTTTCCTCTTTAGAAAGCATTTGCCTGTGCAGAGGAAGAAGATATCCAGGAAGCCAGTGACTGCTTGCTGATCTATGACAACGAAGGCCTGGATGATGCCCCAGGTTCTCCTGTAGGCTCGCTGGGTTGTTGCAGTTTTATTGCTGATGACCTGGATGATAGCTTCTTGGACTCTCTTGGCCCTAAATTTAAAAAACTTGCAGAGATCAGTCTTGGTATTGATGACGAAGCCAAACAAGCTCCGCTGCCTTCTAAAGACAGTGGCTCTGGAGTTGATCGCTGTGGGAGGCCCCTAGATGTCCAGCAGTCAGGAGCAGATAGGTGCCAGACCCTGCCTGGTGGTCAGAGAGCTTCTACTTTATCTAGAGTTGATCACTGTGGGCGGCCCATAGATGTCCAGCAGTCAGGAGCAGATAGGTACCAGACTCTTCCTGGTGGTCAAAGACCTTCTGCTTTGTCTGGAGTTGATTACCATGGGAGGCCCATAGAAGTCCAGCAGTCAGAAGCAGATAGATGCCAGACTCTCCCTGGTGGCCCAAGAGCTTCTGCTTTGTCTGGAGTTGATCACTATGGGCGACCTATAGATGTCCAGCAGTCAGGAGCAGATAGGTGCCAGACTCTGCCTGGCAGTCAAAGAGCTTCTGCTCTGTCCGTTTCTGGGTCTGTTCAACCAGTCATAGCCATCCCTGACCCTTTGCTACATGGTAATTACATGGTATCAGAGACTTACTCAGTTTCTGGGTCCTATGTGCAACCCACCACTGCAGTCTTTGATCCCCTTAGCACACAAAATGTAAGAGTGACAGAAAGGGTAGTTTGCCCCATTTCCAGTGTTCCAACTGAGCTACGAGGGTCACACACTATGCTCTATTCAGAAGAGCCTTGCTCTCACCTATGACCAGGTGAGCCAAAATAACATACTGGCCAAATCTGGATAATATTTGGACCGTATTCTTTAAAATTCACAGTAAAGCTCATTGTATTGGATTAATTTGGCATTTGATACTGCTATAAAAAGTGATCATAATTTTAAATTAAGATGGTCTAGCTCTTATTCCCAAACTGATTATGTTCTTACTCCTAATTTTCTCTGTGTGTGTGTGTGTGTGTGTGTGTGTGTGTGTGTGTGTGTGTGTGTGTGTGTGTGTGTGTGTGTGTGTGTGTGTGTGTGTGTGCTGGTCCTGAACTCAGGGCCTAGGCACTTGTCCTCAACTGTTTTACCCAAGGCTGATAACTCTACCACTTGACCCACAGATCTACTTCTGGCTTTGTGGTAGTAAATTGGAGATAAAAGTTTCATGGACTTTCCTGCCCAGGTTGCTTAGAACCATGATCCTCAGATCTCAGCCTTCTGAGTAGCTAGGTTTACAGGCATGAGTCACCAGCACCTAGCTCACTTGTCTTAATATCTTTATAATTTTATATTGTCTTATGTTTAAAAAATAAGGAGCCCATTGGGTGCAGAAAGTTCCTAAACTTTTTTTCAAATCGTTGTACTTTCAGTGGGAACAAAAGGGGTTCATCACTTGAAAATGAAATGTGGTTTGGTGGATTAAGCTCTTTGTGTCAAGACCCTGGTTCTTGTCACTATCACTTTTTATGTCACTAATAACAATATAAGAATATCATTATGTTTTTAAAGGAACACCATTAATAATGACTTAAGAACCACAAGGTATTTGCTAATCTTTTGGAGCCACTTGGAACAAAGAAAGTAGTAGCAGTTAGGCTCTTTCCAGCTTCTTGGAATGGAGACATCAAAAGCACATCTTTTGCTCTGAGTAAGGCTATAGGATCAAGCTGCATTCTATAATCTGCAAATGCTCCTATAACACTTAAGAAAGTTTAGTATGGGGCTGGGAATGTGGCTCAGTAGTAGAGTGCTCACCTAGCATGCATGAAGCCTTGGGTCAATTCCTAAGTACCACATATACACGAAAAAAAAGGAAGTGGCACTGTGGCTCACGTGGTGGAGTGCTAGCCTTGAGCAAAAGAAGCTCAGGAATAGTGTGCAGGCCCTGAGTTTGTGGCGCAGGACTGGCAAAAAAAGAAAGTTTAGTATGGTGTAAATAATATTTTGTATATTTTAATCACCTTGGAAAGATCTACCTAAAGAAAATACTGTATGTGCAACAACTCTCTCCTATACATTTCTTGATAACAAATTCCTACATTAGTTGTTTGAAGCAGGTCTTTATTTTATTTTTAATGTCATGGGTAGAAATGACTTACATGAGATGTGTAGTGAGGCTTATCATATGGACAATGTTTACAGACTGTGGGAAGGCTAAATGCAACTTTCCTTATAAATAAAATTCTGAATAACACATGGAGAAATTTATATTGTAAGCATCATTTCAGGAAAATATGTCTGAAATAGTTTTCAAGTTACAAAGGATATGGAAGTAAGATTATGGATAAACTATTTTTAACCCTCCCTTCTAAATGAAACAGTGATATATTGTTGAATATAGAATGTAAGGTTAGTGAAAGTCACAATGCATTTCAGTCATGTTACCCTCACAGTAATGCAGTTCTTCAGCCTTACGATATTCACCCTTTAGCCCACAGCCCCATACCTCACCTGCTTCTCAATGTTGTATTTTTAGTCTTTACAAGATTTTCCAACTCCAGTATTTCTAATTGTGTGTAATATACAGAATTTATCTTTTTCCTTACTGCTTTGTTTTTGCTATGATAGTAAAAAAAACTAAGTATACTTTACTCAGATATTATGCAAACAAATCAAGTGTTATATTTTAACTGAGATGGGTAGATCTTAGAAATACCCAGAGGAACAAAACCCATAAATGTCCCCTTCCCAAGCACTCACCTGCCTGGAGAAGCAGAGACAGGATAGGATTCCAAGACTGGCAGCAGGTGCTATAACTGGGCTTCTACTGCAACCCATATGGAGGGGAGAGAAACTGACCTGTCCCGAAGGCTGCACCCTCCACCCTCAGCACACCAAGAAGATGCTCTTGTTAATGGTGCTCTCTCCTGCTTCTCAGCCAAAGTTTGCTCTGAGTCTGGGTATATAAATTGACAAATTGATTTGTGACCTTGTTGATGCAGGAGTATTGAATCAATATTCAAAATAATCCCTATTCAAAGAGCAAAAGTATAATTAAGATGCTCAAAGCAGTTTGACTTGGAGTCTCAAAACCCAAATTACAAAATGAAAAGAGTACAGGGGTGACATGGGTCAAGATGCACTGTTCTCATAATCTGACTTGTTGAATTGAAACCCCTATGTATAACTTCTTTAAAGAAAACAATAACTAAAACAAAAGAAATGGGAATTTGGCTGCATTCCTGAAATGCAGAGAAATGGTCACTATAGTAAAGTGTATACTAGAGAAAATCCTACATGGATTTAAACTTCTTTTAACTTTATTTATAGAATGACCTAAAATTTTCATTTGTTTTGTAAAACTGTTATCTGCACTTTTTACCAACAATAAAAATTATTTTAAGCAAGAAAATAGTTTCTTAAACTGTCCTTTGACTTGGTGTATTCAACAGTTTAAACAATATATATTAAAAACATAAATATTGTGACATTGTTATAATAAAAGTTTGGCAATAAATGAGTATCTCTTGAACCATTTTATAAAGGTTGAACACTTCATAATGAATGTGTATTAAGAAATATGACATTCAAAGTGACTTCCATATGCATTTTTAACAGCATTTTACCATTTTTTTCCTTTGTTTTTCTTTTTTTGTTTTTAGCTAATATCATTTTTGCATCTTCCCAGGCAGGGTGGAGGTAAGTGAGGTTCAGGTTCTGGATTGCCTTTGGTCGTTGAAATGAAAGCTATATGAAATCAAAGCAGAACAACTTTATTAACTGGACGGTTTAGATCACTGGTTGTTCCCAGGCTGCAGTGGTCTCCCAGGCTATCACATTGTAAGATGAAATGGAAGGAGGAGTTGGAGTGAAGAGAATGTAATGTTTCCAGATTGCCACGATTAAAAAAAAAAAGCAAAAACAACAAAAAAATAAACAACTCTATGATGGTACTTAGCAAAGCCATCTACTTTAATGGTGGCTTTAAAAAAATGTTGTGGCTTTATGTCCTTCTAAGGGATGTGACTAAATAAATCCTTTCAGAACTTTAGAACTGACTTCTGGCTGATTTTCTCCCTCTTAAGCCTAGACGATACGCTTTTGTCTGGGCGAAATAGCAGGATTCAACTGAATATTGGATTAAGCATAACAAAGAATGGTACACAGCATGCTTTGGATATACTGAACCAATTCCAAAAAAGGGCAAAGTCATGTAAGTAAATTACAAAAATGTTACTAACTTCTTGTACTCATAGAAGGTTCAAGAAATAAAAATTATGAAATTGGCTTTATCTAAATTTGAGGCTGTGAAAGATCTGGTAGGAGGGGGAAAAGGAACACATTCAATCAACTTCACTAAGTCAACCATTTTAGAAACAAGTAAGTTAAAATGAAGAGTTCTTGTTCGTAGCATTTCAACATTTTCTCATATCCTTTACTGGGTCTAAGAAGAGGAATTCTGAGTTAAGATATTGTATGGTTTAGGACTTCTTCAATATTATAGACTGACATCATTTTATGGAAAGGGGACAATTGATTTTAAGGAAGAAAATCATTTAAGTTTCAGGTGCCAGAATCCACATATTTTCCATGATGAAAGACTGACACCCCTTATGCTTTCCGGGTCCAGAGTGAGCTTCCTTCCAGTGCCAAGATGTCAGCCATTCTCCGGTTGGTGTTTTTACTTGCTTTTACTTTCATTGACTTGAACATCGCATGGAAGTTTAGAAAGGATATAAAGGAGAGAATAAAAAGTTTTAAGAAAAATTAAAATCTGGATATGTATTCTAAAGGGTAAAGAAGCAGTATGATGATGTACATGTAGAGAGAGAGATGAGGATGGACAGATAGATCGGTCAATAAATAGATAGATGATAGGCAGATAGGTAGGTAAATGGATAGGCAGATATACAGTGTTATTTTTCAGGGAACAATGAGTAGCTTTCATCTACATATAATACTCAAGACAAGAGTTTAAACTCCAGGACCACATATATAAACTGACCTTAAATTATCATTACAATTCCAAAGGACATCATGAACACTGAAGCAAGCTATTTGGAACTTGTGAAATTTTTTCCAGTAAACTTTTTTTAAAGTATTTTTTTCTCTACAGAAAATTAAACCCAGGGCCTTGCACAAGCAAGTAGTAGTAATCACTCTACCATGGGAACTACATCTTCAACCTCTCCAGTAAAATTCACCTTTGCTCTTTAAAGGACCATCAAGGAATTTCTCATTTGAGCTTCCACATCGATTTAACCTTGTTCTGCTCTAACACTTTCCTGTGATTATGCTCTGCTGGCATGCTTACTTGACACTAAATTTACTCATTCAAATAAATGTTCTAATCCCAAAGCTGAGAAGGAAATGAAGGGTATACTTTCTTCCTCTTACCGACCTTCAGTCACAAGAAGCCTTTGTTGGCCAATTTACCTTTATTATAGCTGATTGTGCAGGATAGGGGTGTAGCCCACTCTGAATGTGTGAGGTCACTCACTCAACGTTGTTTCAATCATGGTGAGGCCCTGAGTTTGGAAGTGGAGTGTTTAGAAATCATTCAGTAAATGAATATATAATTGCCTAGCTGAATGACAGACCAGCTCTTAAGGCAAATAGTTACATTCATAATGAACATTATTGTTTATATTTTTAAAAAAGTTAACCACATCTTTAAACAAGCTGGTAGAGGTCACTGTGATCATTACATTACCCAGAGCAAGTTTTTCCCTTTGGCTTCTTTGAATAGGACTTTTGTTTCACTAGTTTGCTTAATGTTTGAACATATTTCTGGCTAACAAAACCTCTACACTGAGGAGGAACTA